CCATTTCGTTTACCCATTTAAAGGGAACTCTGTTTTTGACACATAGATACATTAAAAGGTCAAGGATAATATACACTGCTCACAAAAGACCCCTTTAGAACACCATTTCCCAAGAAGCTATAGACAGAAACCGGTAATAATCAATCCTTCACCGTGGTAATTATAACTTACGTTGCATCGTTAATAAACTGATGGTATTTATGAGGGTGTACTTTTAAGAACGGGTTGTTATCTTCGGCAGGTTGTTGTATCCCCTTCTGATGAACAGAGTTCACTTGTTAATGCAAAACAATGTATCGTTTGAGTTATGTTTACTTCTAGGAGTATCGCGTGTTATACAGAAACAACGAAGCTGTACGGGATGTGCCAAATGGTTTGACGATACGGGCACATCTGTTAAACCTTCTCCAATCAACAGGTATTGCAGCATGCAACCCCCACACCTTATTTCTTAACCAAGCTTTGCAACATCAACATTTGTAGAAAATACTTTTTTTTCAACATCCGTTGATTTCAGAATATTCCGATACTTTTGACCTGACTCGTCTACTGCGGCGTGACTAAAGTTTGTGCGTTGAGGCTAAAGGACTTCGGGTTTTGGCTAAAGCTTGATGGGAAAAGGTGTAGATGAGCTACCGAAGGACAGTAACAAAAACGGAGCACGAAAGTGTAACGTTAATAGCTATAAAAAGAAGTAGTAAATGTCAAGTTCACTTACGCTCACTCATTTTAGCGAAGTCGGGAACCGTGGTTTTCGCCGTATCATTCAGTCAAATGTGAAGAGATAACTGGCTGCCTGAATCGGTATTTAATCCATTTTCAAAACAGATAAAGCTTTCGTCGCTATTCGACACAATACAAACATGAATAGTTTTTCTATTATGTGGTCCTTTGTAGAAGTTTTGCATCGGTACAGTTTTAGACGTTCAAATCGTGTTTTTAGTTTTCACGGAACATGAAACGCACAATGCATTCTGCATTTGTATGCACTGTTTTACGCGTAATTCAGTCATCACGGGACTTAAAACTTACATAAAGCTTTGCTATTACTGACTTTCATCTAACTCAGCCCAACGATGATAAAGGAATGAGGATGAAGGGAAATGCAGATCAGGTACAGAGGAAGCAAATTTCAAGGATACATTGATGTGGCAAACACTGACCTGAATACTCAACAAAGTGAGATTAGTTAGCGAGTCCAAGTTCTCGATTGTTGGAATTTTGTTCTTCCCCACATAGAGCTGTGTGAGTTTTGCCATGTGATCGATATTTTCCAATTTGCGTATTTTGTTTGATCCGAACTCCAACATTTCCAATTCGGATAGAGTTGAAAGGTTCTCGATTTTCGATATACGATTATTGACAAAGAATAGTTTTTTCAAATTTGTTAATGAATCCAAATTCTCCACTCGTTTGATCCGGTTGAAACTCAGATCCAATACGGTCAAATTGACCAAACAGTCTAAATTTTCCACCTATGTAGAAGAGATGGGAGCGAAAGAAACGAAACGACTTCATCTCGAGAAACTAAATGGTAACCTGTGAAAAAATGGTTGGCAGGCGCACATGTCAAACACAAAGCAAATTGGCTAGTAGGCAGTTTTGCAGTAGTCACATTGAATACCAGATCTACCTAGGCTTCCTCAAAGTCTAACGGTTCAGGTTGCCGGTTACAGTACCAAGCCAAAAAAGGTAAGAATAATAGTACTCACAAAAATGAAAGTTAGATACCGTGGCTGTTTCATTTCTACGGTTCAGCAAACTCAGGTGTGTAATTAAAAAAGAACGCCCGTGGTGAGCGGAACTGCAGACGCCTGACTTGTTCAGTCGATTGTTCCAAAAGTGCATCGGACAATCACATGGTTATTAGATATTGGTTGCCTTCCATTTGTTTTGGCACGATCCCAGTGACACGGAATGGTATAAAAAACGTATGCTGGATTTCTCTATCTATCTTTGCCTCTCACAAACAGCACAAACGGATGCATATGTGCTCATTACCATACAACTCAATACAACAGATAACCGACCTAGTGCTACCTTCTTCTGGTTTCTCTGAAGAAGAAATAAAACGGAGATTGAAACGGTGGAAAGATGCAGAAGCGATAACATTTTGGTCTGGAAAAAGAGGAGACACAAAAGCAAAAGAGCAACAAGAAACACTGGTGCTGGTGACCAAGTTGGTAGCATTTGGAACTAAACTTTGAATATTATAGAGGGGAAATTTTCAATGATATTTAGTCGAAGAGTAAGGCTGGAGAAGAGATAAGAGCGTAAGTGATACGCAAGCGACATTTAGAGTTGCCTTTAACCGTATCATGTTTTTTTTCTTTTTAAGTGATAAGTCACGTGAGTTTTAGAATCTAGAAAGGCAGAATAACTGAAACCTAATGGGTCCCGAGCATTGCGATAAAAGAATATATCCATTGACGAGGGAAAACTTGCAATAGGAAGGATAAATACCATAGTCCTACCTGAAGATTTGAGCGGAATCGGAGGGGTTTCTGTCTTCGTTTAACCTTATCGCATCACCCTTCACTCCTGTGACATCATAAATTGGACAAATTTAACACGGGTAAACTGGAACAGTGTTCAGATTAAAATGAAGCCTATTATGATGAGTGATGTGCACGTGTAACACGGATTCTGAGCGTGTACCATGTGTAGGTTTGTGTACTGGGGACATGAAGAGATTTCTAGAACAGCGACCTTCAACGGCCTAGATAGGTCATCACAACTACCTCTATAAAGCGTCACTGTTGTAACGACCAAGTAATGAAACAGGCTCCTCCAAGTGAATTCTCGTGTTCAAACCAGTATGCTCAGCAATCTAAGGAAATCACAAATTTGCAACACCCAAATACCACGGGGTGATCGTTCATTTAGTTTGTCTGTACGTCGTGCAACGACGAAACTCCTGTCCGTGGGAGCGCGGTACTGTGCCAAAGGGTAGAGCGGAAACTTCACCATCAATTAGGTTTCCGCAATAAGCAAGTTGTGTGCGATAAGGCTATATGGCTGCTAGCGTCCCAAAAGGAATAACACTGGAAGGTCCCTTCATTAATTTTTCGAACGACCCAAATGAGTGCATTACTAATACTATGAACTCCCTCGATTATATTGAAGCTTGGAAACAGCTGAACTTGTAGGTAATTTCAACGAGCAAGTAGGAGAATCTGGCGTATTAGATGTCCTCCTTCGAGACCACTTAGCTGAATTTCTCAGATAATTAACAAAGACAACTTATTCCAATTTCATTTTTTTCTTGTCTAGTGTCAAACCCCAATAGAGCTATTAAGGTGTCAGTCTCAGCAACCGTTAAGTATGCACTTTCGTACGGCGATTTTGGTTGCTGTCTTTTGATTGCCCATTAGAGGTCAGAGATTTAGAACCAGCTTAAAGTATAAGCTGGCGAAATAGACTAGCTTGCAATATGGGTCCCTAGAGCATCATAGAGTTTGTTGGATTTGCAGTGTTTACATTCAATGCACAATTTTGCAATTTTCATTTTGAGTCCGTTTTCGCTGACAAGATTCATAAAACCAACCAACTTATAACCGTTTGTCTATATTTCATCGCCATCACGACGAGACTACACCTTGACGCGATGTGATGGCTTGCGTGCCTCAGTGACCCTGCGAGCTACACAGGATGGCTTCTCACAGTCGTAGATCCAATCATGCCTGAAAGGTCAACGGTAGAGGCCAGACGAAGACTAGTCTCACAACCAGCTGTGTCTGAAAGGTCAACGGGTAGAGGCCAGACGAAGACCAGTCTCACAAGCCAGCTGCTTGGGCACCCCCTGACTTTTTTCTTCTATCAACACCCGTCTCTGGAGAGGTCACTCCAGTAAAAAAAAAACAGTGAGGGGCAGTTTACCGGTCAAAACACCCTGCTAGATGGACGTAGGAGCGGGGTACCTGGGGCTTCCTCTCGACGGTGGGAGACGTCTTC